CTTTATTCACTTCCTATCGTGCAGTGGTTGGTATACTAAATTTCCCTCTTCTATTCTCTGACATATGGTGAGGACACGCACGACAGATGTTCCAGACCCGGGAGGAGCTGCTCCCCCTGTTTCTAGAGGCTGAGGTAGAAGCTAGGGGAGGGCACCGACCCGAGGTAGGGGATGAGAGTGTCCCAGCACTGTTCTAGTAGCACCACCGACAGATCTTGTGAGAGAACCTATCATTGAGGATCAGAGTGAGGTGCCCGCAGCTGGGCCTACCCTGGCAGACTTTATGACAGCACCGGGTTTCTAGGAGGTCATGGGCCGAATGCTGTGGTTCATGGACACCATGACTCAGTCTAGTTTATTTCCAGCGGATCTAGCGACATCACAGACAGGAGGGGGAGCACAAACAGCTACTGCTCAGGCTCCTGGTCATGCAACTGCAGTGTATCAGACTCCGGGTGCCCTACCCACGGATGGGGCTCAACCAGTTGCTGCAGTGGTACCCAAGCCCAGACCAACTGCGGATGGTGACCCACAGAAGTTGTTGGATAGATGGACTAAACTTCAACCTCCTGTATTCAGGGGTGAGCTTCACGAGGATGCCTAGGATTTTATTGATAGGTGTAGGGACAGACTACACAATATAAGGATATTAGAGTCGCATGGGGTTGACTTTACTACTTTCCATCTAGAGGGAAGGGCCCGTAGATGGTGGCAGTCTTATGTTCTTGGCAGGCCAGCAGGTTCTCCTCCCATCACTTGGGGCCAGTTCACATAGTTATTCTTGGATAGGTATATTCCACCCTATGAGAGGGAAGAGCTACGATATCAGTTTGAGCAACTTGAGCAGGATCAGATGTCCGTGACCGACTATGAGGTGAGGTTTTCTGAGTTATCCTACCATGTATTGATGATACTTCCTACTGACGTAGAGAGGGTGCGGAAGTTTGTTGCAGGGTTGCATTATGGCATTAGGGTCAACATGGCCCGAGAGGTAGAGATGGGGACTTCTTATCAACTAGTGGTGGAGATTGCTTGGAGGATCAAGGGCTACCATCTGAGAGGTAGGGAGCAGATGCAGCAGGACAATAGGGCTAGATTCTCCGGAGAGTTCAGAGGTGTCCCAGCTAGGGGTAGAGGTCAGTTTGGGAGGGGTCAGCCCAGCAGGCCCCCATATTTAACACTACCACCTGCTCGGGGTGCTCCAGCGCGACCTTATTTTGGTGCCATACTAGAGAGTTCTTATCGCCTACCAGCTATTTAGGGTTCCTCCAGTGGGTATTTAGGTCCCCAAGGTTCTTTAGGTTCCTATTTCAGTGCTATGCTGGAGAGTTCATACCGTCCACCAACTATCCAGGTTTCTTCCAGTGGGTCTACCAGCCATCACGGTTAGTCATCAAGGCAGCAGGTCACTACACTGTGGGGTTGTTTTGAGTGTGGAGAGCTTGGTCATATGAGGAAATACTTCCCCAGGCTTGGGGGCAAGGCAATACAATAGGGTCAACAACTTATGATTTCAGCACCGGTTGCCCAGCTGTCTAGAGGCGGGGGACAGACTGGTAGAGGCTGTTCTAGAGGTGGAGGCTAGACAGGGAGAGGTCAGCCAGCTACTGCTCAGTCAGGTGGAGGCCAGCCAGCCGGTGCTCTAGCCAGATTCTATGCGCTTCCGGCCAGGCCAAATGCATTGGCTTTAGATGCCGTTATCACACGTATTATTTCCGTTTGCGGTAGAGATGCTTCGGTATTATTTGATACAGGGTCTACCTATTCATATGTATCATCTCTGTTTGCTCATTTCCTGGTTATTCATCCTAAGCCTTTGGGCACTCTTATTCATGTGTCCACTCCTGTGGGCGATTCTGTAGTTATGGATCAGATCTACCGGTCCTATGTGGTCATATTATGTGGTTTTGAGACTAGAGAAGATCTCCTGTTACTTGATATGATCGACTTTGAGGTCATCCTAGGCATGGATTGGCTATCCCCGTACCACGTTGTCCTTGATTGACATGCCAAGATTGTTACATTAGCAATGCCAGGGTTGGAATGGAAGGGTTCCACAGTTGATATATCTAGTCGGGGTGCACTAGTGTTGTTTGTAAAGAAGAAGGATTGGGACCATGCGGACGTGCATTGATTACCGCCAATTGAACAAGGCTACCATCACAAGTACCCATTGCCGCGCATTGATGATTTGTTCGACCAGTTGCAGGGTGCTAGGGTGTTCTCTAAGATCGACTTGAGATCAGGGTACCACCAGTTGAGGATTCGGGACTCAGATGTGCCAAAGACTGCTTTCCGTACTAGATATGGTCATTATGAGTTTCTGGTGATGTCCTTCATCTTGACTATTGCCCCAGTAGCATTTATGGACCCGATGAATAGGGTGTTCAGACTTTATATTGATTCCTTTTTCATCGTCTTCATTGACGACATCTTGATATACTCACGTAGCCTGGTGGAGCACGAGTAACATTTGAGAGTAGTGCTTCAAACCTTGCGAGTGAAGAAGTTGTATGCTAAGTTCTCCAAGTGTGAGTTTTGGCTAAAGTCAGTGGCATTATTGGGGCATATTGTGACATGAGAGGGTATTAAGGTGGATCCCAAGTAGATTGAGACAGTTCAGAGTTGGCTACGTCCTACTTCAGTGATCGAGATCAGGAGTTTCCTGGGGCTAGTAGGTTATTATAGGCATGCATGGATTTTCATCTATTGCATCACCTCTGACTAGATTGACTCAGAAGGGTGCTCCTTTCCATTGGTCCGATGATTGTGAGGCGAGCTTTCAGAAGCTCAAGACAGCTTTGACTACAACACCAGTTCTTGTGTTGCCTTCTGGTTCAGGGATGTATACGAGATATTGTGATGCTTCACGCATTGGCTTGGGTTGTGTATCGATGTAGGATGGCCGAGTTATTGTATATGCTTTACGCTAGCTGAAGATTCATGAGAAGAATTATCTTGTGCATGACCTGGAGTTGGCGGCGATTGTCCATGCTCTTAAGATATGGAGGCATTATTTGTATGGGGTGTCATGTGAGGCTTACAGTGATCATCGCAGCTTACAACATTTGTTCAAGCAGAGGGATCTCAATTTGAGGCAGTGTAGATAACTTGAGTTACTGAAGGAATATGACATCACCATTCTTTATCATCCAGGCAAGGCAAATGTGGTCACTGATGCCTTAAGCAGGAAAGCAGAGAGTATGGGTAGCTTGGTATTCATTTCAGCAGAGGAGAGGCCACTAGCCTTGGACATTCAGTCCTTGGCTAACAGACTTTTGAGGTTAGATATTTCAGAGCCCAGCCAAGTCCTTGCGTATGTTATTGCTCAATCTTCATTATTGAGGCATATCAAGGCCCGACAGTTCGATGATCCACATTTGGTGGTTCTCAGAGAGACAGTGCTACAGGGTAGTGCCAATGAGGTTTCTATTGGCGAGGATGGTGTTTTACGACTCCAGGGTCACCTATTTGTTCCTAATGTTGATGGTCAGAGGGAGAGGATTCTAGAGGAGGCACACAATTAGCGATATTCCATTTATCCAGGTGCTACGAAAATGTATCGTGACTTGAGACAACATTATTGGTGGCGAAAGATGAAGAAAGACAGTGGAGTATGTGGCTAGGTGTTTGAACTGCCAGTAGGTTAAGTATGAACACCGGCCAGGTGGATTACTTCAGTAGATGCTTATACTAGAGTGGAAGTGGGAGTGCATTACTATGGACTTCGTAGTTGGGTTGCCCCGGACCTTGCGGAAGTTTGATGCAGTATGGATCATTGTTAATAGGTTGACCAAGTCGGCACACTTTATTCTTATTGTGACTACTTACACTTCAAAGAGATTGGCTCAGATTTACATTCAGGAGATAGTTCGGTTGCATGGTGTGCCTATTTCCATCATATCAGATTGGGGCCCTCAGTTCACTTCCCATTTCTAGAGAGCTGTTCAAAGTGAGTTGGGGACCCGTGTGGAGCTTAGCACAACATTCCATCCTCATACTGACGAACAATGAGAGCGGACAATTCATATTTTGGAGGACATGCTCAGAGCATGTGGGATTGAATTTGGAGGACAGTGGGATCAGTTCTTGCCCTTGGCAGAGTTTGCTTACAACAACAGCTATCAGTCCAGCATAGAGATGGCTCCATTTGAGGCTTTATATGGTTAGCGATGTCGTTCTCCTATCGGATATTTGAGCCTGGTGAGGCTAAGTTGTACGGTACAGACTTGGTGAAAGATGCCTTGGAGAATGTCAAGTTGATTTAGGAGAGGCTTCGCATAGCTCAGCCCAGATAGAAGAGTTAAGCGGATCAGAAGGCGCGTGATGTATCATTCATGGTTGGCGAGAAAGTCCTCTTGAAAGTCTCACCAATGAAGGGTGTTATGAGATTCGGGAAGAGTAAGGGAGGTTGCTTACGAGCTTGCTTTACCCCCCAGCTTGTCGGAAGTTCATCTAGTTTTCCATGTATCGATGTTGCGGAAGTATCATGCCGACGTGTCCCATGTATTAAACTTCAGTACTATTCGGCTGGATGAGAGTCTGGGTTATGAGGAGGAGCAAGTTTCCATTATTCATAGGTAGGATCGCTAGTTGAGATCCAAGAGGATTTCCGCGGTAAAGGTCCAGTGGAGGGTCCAACCAGTTGAAGAGGCGACCTGGGAGTCCGAGGAGGACATGCGGAGCAGATATCCCCATCTTCTTCCTAGATTAGGTACTTTTCTATGTCCGTTCGAGGATGAATGTTTATTTAAGAGGTGGAGAATGTAACGACCCGATTAGTCGTTTTACTTTTTAGAACCCCATCCCCGTAAATAAGACTTCCCGCACTTGCTTTAACTAAAGTACGATGTCAGTACCCAAATCAGAGATCCACAACGGGCACCTGGTGCCTACTGAACCGAGCGCACGTACCCCTGTTTTTCTATAGGACTCGTCACGACCATGATAGGCCACAGTTATATATATAATTAGTAATATTAGAACTTAACTCACATATCTAATTCAGAAAGGTTTATATATATACATAGGGGCCGACAAGGCTGTTGACATGTCGTACCTAAAGCTATACATAGGACACTGTCTGCAAAACCTCTAAGAAAGCATGATCATAATATATAAGTCGGGACAGGGTCCCCGACATCTTCATAAAACAAAGTAACATATATAGAATGTGACTCGGCAATACTCCAGGAAGATGTGGAGCTCACCAACCAAGAGTTGATATCTGGAGGCAGCCTACAGTTGATGGTCCTCACCTCGCCTATCCACACCTGTGTGGCATGAAACACAGTGCCCCAAGAAAAGGGACGTCAGTACAAAGAATGTACCGAGTATGTAAGGCAGAAATGAAACGTAATAATAATGAAATACTATCTCGGAGAGAGATACGAGTCAACTTACAGTTTCTGACCTGCCGCTGAGGGTCGTAACATGTAGAATAAAACTCATTCGTACATATAAATTAAACTACGATATAGTAGTTCTGATTACACCATTCTCATGGCGTTAACTGTCCAACTGATTAGTGGTAACTGCCCGATCGGCCATAGCACAGTGGTAAATACATGATTGCCCGACCGACCGTAGCTCGGTGGTAAATGCATGACTTCCCGACTGGCCATAGCTCGGTGGTAAATATGTAAATGCCCAACCAGCCATAGCTCGGTGGTAAATACATGACTGCCCGACCGGTAGTAAATAATGATACATAACTGCCCAACCGATGGTAACTGCCCGACCGGCCGTAGCACGGTGGTAAATTCATATCTGCCAACCCCTAATAGAGACCAATTCATGCCAAAGCTCCCTTTTTTTTCTACCAGAAGGATAGTAGTCATCCAAAGATTAACTCCTTCAACAAAATAGTAGCCGCGTAGACCCATCAATTTATTATCGTTACATATCCATATTTTCTTGTGTTACTGGAAACATGATTTGAACCAGAGTTACATTTACTTACTTTTGCCAACAATCTCGCTGGCTCTAAAAGCTCCAGTCATAAAAAGTAAAATACAAGGATAGATAGCAAGCTTTTATCTTTGGCAGCATTCTTTGGCAGGAACATTACATCTACATGTAGATAGTTGTTATCTTTTAATCTCTCCTAATAAAGTAATGCCACTCGTACTTGCAATGCAATACTTATTCAGCTATTGAAGTATAATTCAGTCTCTAAACGTTGGCTGAGTAGACTATCCGCTCACAAGAACTAAGAAGAGATTCACGTAAATAATGGAACTGAATAACGTAGATATTCTTAACTACTAAGAATAGAACCATTTATGGATTATCATTACGTTTACGTATCGTTACTTGGATCATGCCAAAAGAAAGAAGAACTAGCCTTAACATACCTGAGTTGATTCTCTTAGAAAGATTGCACCGTGTTAAGCATTGAGCAACTAACTATCCTTGGTACAGTGGCAAAGGAACGAAATTTACTCTTCACGGGCAGTTGAGTAACATTATTGGTTACACAAAGTTGGAGGACTCATAGATGAGTTTATAATTGAATAAGAGCATGCTGCTATCTTTTAAGTTGGATTGGAAAGTATAGCAATGCAAGAAAAGAAGGTGAAGATTCAATAACTCCCTTCAAAGTATGCTTGTTTTTGAAATTATTACGTAAAGAACAAAGACAAAAAGCTTAAAAGCTTGAAAACGACACTTGATATGGTCTAATATCACTTTCAAGTATTTGGATAAGTCTTAGTGTAAATTTTGGTTTAATTCTTATTAATGATTCTCTGCCTACCTAACATGCACTTCCCGTTTTCATTTTAGAATTGCAGGAAGTTTATTTCTTTGTCAAATTGAGTTGGAACCACTTTGATGACTAATGTCTCATAATCTACTAACGCTTTGCTACCTTTCAAGAATTATATAAGAGTTACAATGTTATATAAATGGGCTGCCACATTTTTTGTTCAAACTTTATCCAAAATCACAATTTATTTAACCACTAATCTTACGATTAAGTTGATAATCTCCCACTATCCAATAATTAATCAATTATCCATATAATTAAGGATTATCTCAAATTACTTGAAATTCTACTTATTTTTAATATACTTTATACAGCATACTACCATGGTCATATAGTACATTGCATGGTACCAGTTCATAATTATCGGGTATTATTGCTTGACCCATATTTTATCTCAAATTGGCCACTTTCAACGAAACTCGTTTTCTTTAATTCGTGTACCCTTTATCCTTCCTGACACTTATTTATCGCTTGTTATAAATAGCGTAAATACGTTAACCTCAATATAATCTCACCCCCGAGTCTACGTCAATTAACTGAAGACGAAACTTTTATCGTACGAAAATGCGAGATGTAACATCCTTCCCCCCTTAAAAACATTCGTCCTCGAATTTTTATGCTTGCAAGATGTACATACATATCCATCTATTATAAATATATATATATATATTCTTCCCGGGCTAAACTCCAATGAAACAAATATCAGGTTCTCACGGGGTCAGGATGTCGTCCCTCTCTAAATCTACTTCCTAATCTTTTCATCACCTATGATTCTGTTAATCTATCTTCTAGGCGCTGACACCTATTAGTTGTAATCTTAATAATCGGGTTCATGCTTTGCTTTCATGCTAGCCTTGGTTTCCCTTAACTCTTCAGACGTAATGCCAACTTACTCTTACATTAATCATAATAACTGGACAATTTGTGTTAATAAGATCAAACATTACCAATAATCACAATACCTGACACATCATCTGGTGTAGCCTCTGGATCCTGACGACCTGCCAAAGCATATATGCGGTTCTGACTACTGCCGGAGCTAGATGCTCTACCCCTGCCTCTACCTCTACCAGCTGATGCCTGAGGGCCTCACTCGTGAGGGCGTACAGAAGAGGAGGAGACTGTTATAGATCTGGTGGGCTGAACCATCCCGCTTCTGCCATTTATAGGACAATCCCTCATATAATAACTAGCATCTCCGTAGGTATAGCATACATTAGACCCCTGACGACATTGTCCGGAATGAGCTCTACCGCATTGACTGCACCGCGGAGGGGGCACCCTCATTTGCGCTAAATCCCTACTATTATGAAAACCCAAAATTCTCGAGCCCTGACCTAACTCAGAATAAACAGATCCCTCATAATATTGCTTCTGCAACTATCAGACACTTTCAACAGGGTATGGTGACATAGGATCGCCCGAAAAATCCTCATATCGCCTAACAGGCCTAGCCTTCTTACGCTGACCCCTATCATGATTCTTGTATTACTGTCGTTTCCGATCCTCTAAATTCTGAGCATAAGCCTGGATGCGGGAAATATCCATACCATCAAGTAGAGCGACCGTGAAGTATTCATTAATTAGGTGCGGCCCAAGTCCTACCACAAACCGATGCACTCGGTCACTCATTTTAGCCACAATCGAGGGGGCGTACCTCGCCAAGAAATCAAACTGGAGGCTATACTCCCGCACATTCATATTGCCTTGTTTAAGAGCCAAGAACCTGTCTACCCTGGCTTGACGAATTTCTACCGGCAAGTAATGATGCAAGAAAGCGCCTGAGAACTCTTCCCATACCGCTGGAGATGCATTTGTCCCTCTAGACGATTCCCAAGTTTCATACCACTGGACTGCAATATCCCGCAATCGGTATGAGGCCAGCTCTACTGACTCAGTGTCTGATGCATGCATTACCTCAAAGTCCTCTGCATCCTATCAATAAAGTTTTTGCGGGTCCTCATCCTTGTTGGATCAGGTAAACACTGAAGGGTTCAGGTTGATGAAGTCTCGAACTCTCGCGCTAATATCCCTATTAACGTGACCAACACTTGTACCAACTTGGCATTGAGCCTAAGCAGCTACCAATCTTGTCAACAACTGTACTGCACTCCGCATATCCATATCCTCATCCTGAACAATAGGTGGAGGTGTTGGGTTCCTCCTCATCTCCTCGGGTACTGACAAAATCGAAGAACTATGCAAGGGTGTCGTATTTCCCCTCGGGTTCTCACTCTGGCCCTCGCAATACATTGGTACTCTACTCATGCCCTCATCTGCCACTACTTTACCTTTCTGACTTGCCATAGTGTTCCTGGTCATAGGCATCGCTGCATATATAAAACAAGTCAAAGGTCAAGGACTTTATTCCCTATGACTCTGCTCTATTGAACGATCTAATATCAAGAAGAAAGGGTAACCAGTCCCTAAATGCCCTGTAGTTCCTTGCTTATACAACGTGGTGCACAACACATTTATAAACAAGACTCTACTAGACACGACTTGCAGACAACCCTAGGACAGAACTGCTCTGATACCACTTTATTAGGACCAAATCAGAGGTCCACGACGGGCACCCGGTGCCCACTCAACCGAATGCCACGTACCCCTTTTTTTCTGTAGGACTCATCACGACCATGATAGGCCACAATTATATATATAATTAGTAATATTAGAACTTAACTCACATATTTAATTTAGAAAGGTTTATATAGATACATAGGGGCCGACAAGGCTGTTGACATGTCGTACCTAAATCTATACACAGGACACTGTCTGCAAAACCTCTAAGAAAACATGATCCTAATATATCAGTTGGGACAGGGTCCCCGACATCTTCATAAAACAAAGTAACATATATAGAACGTGACTCGGCAATACTCTAGGAAGATGTGGAGCTACCAACCAAGAGTTGATATCTGGAGGCAGCCTACAGAGGATGGTCCTCACCTCGCCTATCTACACCTGCGTGGCATGAAACACAGCACCCCAAGAAAAGGGACGTCAGTACGAAGAATGTACCGAGTATGTAAGGCAGAAATGAAACGTAATAATAATGAGATACTATCTCGGAGAGAGATAAGAGTCAACTTATAACTTTTGACCTGCCGCTGAGGGCCGTAACATGTAGAATATAACCCATTCGTATATATAAATTAAACTATGATATAGTAGTTCTGATTACACCATTCTTGTGGCTTTAACTGCCCAACTGATCAGTGGTAACTGCCCGACCGGCCGTAACACAGTGGTAAATACATGACTGCCCGATCGGCCGTAGCTTGGTGATAAATGCATGACTGCCCGATCGGCCGTAGCTCGGTGGTAAATATGTAACTGCCCAACCAGCCGTAGCTCGGTGATAAATGTATGACTGTCTGACCGGTGATAAATAATGATACATAATTGCCTAACCGGTGGTAACTGCCCGACCGGCTGTATCATAGTGGTAAATGCATATCTGCCAACCCCTAATAGAGAACAATTCATGCCAAAGCTCCCTTTTTTTTCTACCAGAAGGATAGTAGTCATCCAAAGATCAACTCCTTCAATAAAACAATAGCTGCGTAGACCCATCAATTTATTAACGTTACATATCCATATTTTCTTGTGTTACTGGAAACATGACTTAGAACTAGAGTTACTTTTACTTACTTTTGCCAACAATCTCGCTGGCTCTAAAAGCTTCAGTCATAAAAAGTAAAATACAAGGTTAGATAACAAGCTTTTATCTTTGGCAGCATTCTTTGGCTGGAACATTACATCTACATGTAGATAGTTGTTATCTTTTAATCTCTCCTAATAAAGTAATGACACCCGTACTTGCAATGCAATACTTATTCAGCTATTGAAGTATAATTCAGTCTCAAAACGTTGGCTGAGTAGACTATCCGCTCACAAGAACTAAGAAGAGATTCACGTAAATAATGTAATTGAATAACGTAGATATCCTTAACTGCTAAGAATAGAACTATTTATGGATTATCATTGCGTTTACGTATCGTTACTTACATCATGCCAAAAGAAAGAAGAACTAGCCTTAACATACCTGAGTTGATTCTCTTAAAAAGATTGCACCGTGTTAAGCATCGAGCAACCAACTATCCTTGGTACACTGACAGAGGAACGAAATTTACTCTTCACGGGCAGTTGAGTAACATTATTGGTTACCCAAAGTTGGAGGACTCATAGATGAGTTTATTATAATTGAATAATAGCACACTACTATCTTTTAAGTTGGATTGAAAAGTACAGCAATGCAAGAAAAGAAGTTGAAGATTCAACAACTCCCTTAAAAGTATGCTTGTTTTTGAAATTATTAATTATTAAGTAAAAAATAAAGACAAGAAGCTTAAAAGCTTGAAAATGACGCTTGATATGGTCTAATATCACTTTCAAGTATTTGGATAAGTTTTAGTGTAAATTTTGGTTTAATTCTTATTAAAGATTCCCTGCCTACCTAACATGCACTTCCCGTTTTCATTTTAGGATTGCAGGAAGTTTATTTCTTTGTCAAATTGAGTTGGTCCACTTTGATGACTAATGTCTCATAATCTACTAACGCTTTGTTACCTTTCAAGAATTATATAAGAGTTACAATATTATATAAATGGGCTGCCATGTTTTTTGTTCAAACTTTATCCAAAATCACAATTTATTTAACCACTAATCTTATGATTAAGTTGATAATCTCCCACTATCCAATAATTAATCAATTATCCACATAATTAAGGATTATCTCAAATTACTTAAAATTCTACTTATTTTTAATATATACATCATACTACCATGGTCATATAGTACATTGC